CAACGCACGGTACATCGGGATCATTTTACTTCGAGGTCAGCAACGCTTCTCAATAACAAAGTGCATACCGACATTTTGCAGACCTTCGTGAGTGCTCAAAGACCTACCGAGATAATCCATTGGATACTTCTACGTGCAAAAAACGGCTAAATTTAATCCTTCTGGCTCCACTGCTGAATTCTGTTATACAGACATGTTACCGAGTATCTAGGTGCACATACAAGTGCTCGATGTGACACTACTGGGTATGCCTGTGTGCATCGATTACAGGAAGATTCTTCCGCATGTCCGTGAGCCGATGCCCGTAATTTGGGAGGAAATAACGACGAAAGCATATACTTTACATATTCAGATGGTAAAAAGAAACAACTATTAGATGAAACTAGCGTGGTAAATGTTTTAAACTTCAGAAAGTTCAAAAGAAAAGTGGCTAGGAGCACAAAGCATGGTGTATTGTAGGTCAAAGATTTCCAAAATACTCACTGTTATAGCCTCAGTGGACCTGTCGGCTTCCTCCAACAGTTGACCCATCTTCAGGCATGCAGGCGCTGTAAGGCTCCAGTCACCACCTTAAATATGAAGGCAAAATAACCGCCTTATGTCATTGCATACGATTGTGAGAGTTAGCAGCACCTCTTAGGCGTCTGCTGTGAAAATTCCATCGTGGATATCACGAATAAACTATATAAAAGTCTCCAACAACATTTATAATAACCCAGAAAGAACGCATTTTAATTCGCGTTAATGTCTTCGACGTATTATTTTAACAATAAATTAAGGATTGCACATTTTGTGGAGAAGGTTCCGATGAAAACGAATGCTTGGGATAAGTACGTTTATTCGTATCATTCAGATGGTTTCACGATGAACATCAGGGTTTAAAAATTCAAATTTTAACTCACTTGCCACCGCAATTTCATGAGCTTTTGTACAAAGGGCGATTTTCTCGCACATGTAGTCCTTTCCTGTTTTGTCAACTAGTGCGAGATAGATGCGGACCAAGCATCGGTCAGCTGCACTCCCCATCGATGTACCGTCCTCTTCCTTCCAGGGTTTGTATCGAGTTGCATTGTAGAATTCGATAAAATATCTACAGGCGTTTTCAAGATCCCCTTTAAATAAAAAAAAATAACACTAGATTATGAACGAATACAATGTGGCGGCCACTGTTGGCTTTGAGATAGGCTAATCATAACAAACTCATTAGAATAGGAAGTTGCCATTTTTACATTGACATTTTTATGTGTATGGTGCAGTTTAGTGTATTCCATCCTCGTCCATAATTGAAGAGCGGAAAAACTTACATTTTTTCTCAACTTACACGCTTTTCTGCTCTAAGGATGGACATTTTCTAGGCCGAAGACTTATCAGATGCAAATGCATTTACCAACTAGGATGGTGTACAAGTTTTCTGTAAACTGTTATTTTTCGGCATATAAACAATGACTAAAAGTAAAGAACTGGTTTCATAAAAGTGAAGCTGGTAAATTTATACACTAAGAACAAAACCCTTTATACGATATAAGCCGGCAGGGTACCATATATGGGATTAAATTTGAGGATATTAGTTTCCGAAGCAGCTGATGGCCATAAGATGAAATGGGGAATTCGTAATTGACTCTTATCACTAGTTAAATTTCACTTTTCCAAAGATAAACACCAGGCGAACTAAAGAACGCCTAGACCCCCAATAAATCCCGGCAGCTTAATGAATACCGGAAGAACATTGATTTAACCTTAGAGTGACATAAAATAAAGACATAGGAGTGATGAGTCTGCAACAGTTACCATACAGACCACTCATAATAGTGAATGTTTTTAAAGAGTGTGCCAAGAACTGCGGTTCACGCGAATATTGCTACTGAAGAGATAATTTAAATTTACAACACTGATAGGCCAACCTATAACCCTCAGCCTATAACTTAAGCGCAACCTAAAACTCTAAGCCTAGCTCTTAACCCTTATTATAGTCGAAACTCTAAGTCAAAACACAATTGTAGGCCTAAACGGATATCAAAACCATATCCTGACCTCTAATCCTCAAGCTTAACCCTAAAAAGTAACCCTAACTCTGAGTTGAACACTTAACCAAATGGTAACACGTGACACGGGAGAAGCGAATAAAAGGCGATATACTAAGCCTATCCAATTTGCAGAAGAATGCAAAAAGTAAGGATCAGAGGAAAGGGGCCTATATCAGCTCTGCACCATAAAATGAGTTAATAAATACTCTTCATAGGAAGCCACTCTAGGAGACATTTACCAAAAGTAATCTTTTTTTAAATTTAGGACAGCAACCCCCTCCCACAGCATTTTTTTCGATTCATTTAACTGTTAAAAAAAGCTTTACCTATTGTATGGTAGTGAAAAAAAATAAAAAGAAACTCTGCTACGTATTAGGAGAGGGATAGTTGGAGGCACGTGATGTGTCCCTTGCTACCTCACCAGTTAATGCCTATAGTAGGGCATGCGAGCTTAGTTCTCAGTTTTCAATGAAATCAACAAAACTTATTTTTGGGAAGAAGAGTGAAACTGATTCAACTGGTCAGAACTTCAGCCGTACAGACTATATTCTCAGAATGTATGGATAAACATACCTGCAAGACCCAACACTACTGAGCGTGAGCGCTCATTTAAAAAGGCTGAGGCAATCCGTCAGTTCACCTGTAAATATCGATGTTTTGGAAAATTTACACAAACGCGCTGTGAAAATCCCGAGCACCGAGAGTATAGAGAGCATTTATAAACACGAAAATATACTAAAACATATGCCTACATTGCTGAGGCTTCAAAGAACTCAGGTTCACCAACGTCTCTGTTTCCTTAGTTCGAGAATGGATCAGACTTAAAACGAGAATTAATAGTATTCGGACGGTGGGAACGCTTATCTGCCCACTTACAATATTCGATGACCAGATATTTCATGCTGCTTAACTAATCTTTGGCGACTACTGACCTAGTTTTCCAGTTTGGGTGTTGTCTCTTCGCCGAATATAACCATTTTTACAATAAAAACACTTGTATGGAACTTTTATTCGCAAGAAGGGCGTTCTGTTTGCAACTAACCACCACAAAATGTGCTTTTTTATGCACCTTTATGTAAACAGTTTTGCGGGTTTATACTCCTTAGTTTTAGTTTTTTATAGTGAAAAAGAAAGGTACGTGAACGTTGGTTGTTTACGTCATGGAACTACCACTTTTAGTACCCTGACAGTAAAAACGAAGCTCTCCGTTCTTGGTAAACAGCGCCCCTCTAGGAGTCCGCGGAAAAGTTTAGATAGCGATTCGATTATCCACACCTGAAAGAACAAAACATACTTTTGCCCCATTCCTTGTATAATGATACCCATTTTCGCCTACCAAAAT